AGGTTAGATTAATTAATCCCATGAACCTAAACACCTCCCATATACTCAAGTTGTCATACTTAATCCCTCTTATTATGTTTATACTTTTAAATCACGAATTTAAGCACCACCATCACCTCAAAACACTATCAATAATCACTCAACAAAAATTAAGGTTTTGGATTTTTGACAACCTATTGGCATAATTATCACTTACACTTTCTAAACAACTCTTATTTAATCTTAAACTATCCATAGAAGTTGAACCCAAAGGCGGAGAATCCTCAAACATGAAATACTAACCTAACTAATTTAAAGAGAGGTTTAAAGGGTAAAATGAGGATTGGGATGGTTACCTTGAGTTTTAGAAGCTTCAAAAATAAGCCTAGCCCTCGAAAAATTTAATGCCTTAACAACGCTCCATAAATGTTGCACCAAACCCTAAACTCCCTATTCTATTTTTTGTTTTGTGTAGTTGGCACGAATTTAAAATTGGGCATCTGCACTGCCCACGTGTTTTGGGTGTCCCACAACCTTAATAATCATACCTAAGTCTAAGTTACATTATAGTTATAAACTAAATATTTAACTAACGTAAACAGCCTTAATTAACAATATTCCACAACTAAGACCTCAAACCCATATATTCACTTCGATCACAAATAATTCCTCCAATTATTCTCAATGTCCACAATTAAATTTCTAAGTTAAAAGTTAAGATGTTATAGACACTACTTGACATATATTGACAAGTTGTTTTTTAAATATTGGAAAGCCATATTCAAATATTGACAAGTTATAGTTTAAATTTTGACAAGTTATTTAACAAGTTTGTGAATCAACAATATAAATATTGACATATGATTGTTCGAATTTTGATAACTTAATTATGGAAAAGTCACAAAAAGATTTTTGAAATTAACAATTTTTATGTAAGAAGGTTGGAAACTAAATTTATAACACACACACACACAATTTTACACGATACAGTTGAAGTGTTTTATTAGTTTCATGGTCCCCAAAAATTTGATGAACCAAGTGATCATAAGTTCAAATGCCCATTTGATCACTGTAAAAGACTATCTCGTTGACGTCAGAGCTTAATAGGCCGGCGAAGGTAGTCTGGCCACTGATGACGCCGTTTGTGGATTTGTTTTTATAAAACAAGGACACTTCAGGAATTGATTCCCAAAACTTAATTACAATTGAGGATTTTGGTCTTTCATGATTTTTCAGAAAAGCTTTGGACCCTTCATGTCATCACATCCCTTGTGAGGGTTCTGCTTCTGCATGATAGTCTCTCTATTTCTCAGCTTTCACACGTGCTGAGTGTCTATTAACTTCAAGATAAATCCCACTCAGTGTATCAAGTCGATATTTTGGAATTTTGATTATCAAAGTCCCATCATCAACGGTTCCCTTGACTCTTGTGATAATTAAGTGATTATATAATTTATTCATTTACGAAAACTGTTCTTCTAAAATTATTATCGGTGACTCTCTGTTTAATTCTTGCAAGCCTTCCTTTGTGTATGATGTTAATCACACAAGCTTCCAGATGATTAATTTCAAAATGTTATTTTAAATATATTTTTCCAAATATTTTGATGTCAATGATATATATATATATATATATATATATATATGCGCGCGCGCGCGTAGCTTAAGTTAATTAAAATAGTAATAAACTATTGGTGATAATATAATTCTTTTTGTAGTGCCGTAAAAGGAATATAATACACCTTTCTCACTTCATAGACTACTATTAATTAATAATTATTAATAAGTGTGAAGAGAATATGAACTATGAAGCATTGCTTGAATATGCAGCCAACCATACCCATCAAGAGTGAGACACAAGCAGATATTTAATGAAATTCTCTATCTTATCTTATCAATATTGATTTAATATGTTGGCTTTCAAAAGCGACCATTATTAATAATATTGAATAATTAGATTAGCCATTGTATTTTTTATCACAAAAAATAGAAAAATTCGAACTTGAATAGCTAGTTGACAGTATACTAGATAGTGACTTGAAGGTGATCACGAAAGACATGAGACATTGGATATTTTATCTAAAAAAGATCATTTTCCACCATAAATTAATATAGTGTTTTTTTTTTACTGCAATCAAATTGATTATATTTATGAATTTGTAATAAAAAAGAAATAAATGGAAAACATACATGAAAATAGGGATTAAGGGCTTGTTTGGTTTTGTTTTCATCTTTTATTTCTAAAAATTATTTTGTAAATTAATTTTTAACAATTTTTTTCAAAACAAAATAAAATGAAAGTAAGTTTGATTATGCTAATTTGAAAACAATTTTAAAAATTTAAAAAAGGCCAATAATAGTGGTTACTGGCGAATGATAGTGATAAACTATGACAGTAATTGGTTATGACTAAAGATAATTTATAATAGTTAAATGTAGAGTGATTTAAAAATAAAAAAGAAAATAATTCTAAAATATTTTGAATTTTTATTTCTTAAAATAAAAATGAGAACATTAAAATATTTAAATTCAAGACACTAACGAAAACCAATTTTTTACTTTTCTATTTTAAAAGATAGAAAATAGTGTTTGAATACAGAAATCAAATATACCTTAAATTTCATAGTTTTAAATTCAATTCATATATATATATATATATATATTCTCCCTCCAGTCTCAAATATAGCTAATTAATGGAAGGTTCTTATTGTTCAAAATGTAAGTCAACTCCTAATATTTTAGATCATTAAAGGACATTTTTTCCCCCTATAATACCCTTCATTACCAAAGAAAAATTATAGTATGCATAATTAATAAATTCACCATTTATGAGAGGTTAATTAGAGAAAATTGTAGGTAATCTAGAACACATTTATTAAAATTAACCAACTTTAACAATTTTTTTTTAACATGGGCGAAATAAATACCATTGGTGAGATCTTCGAATTTGATCCAAGATGTAGCAATTTTGTTGGCCATAGCAATCACTTATTTTTGAAGTCTAATGATTGGTTGGCTACATTTGAAAGGATATACAAATACACGTGTTGAACAGCGATTTGCTATTCAAATTTGGTGAACAATCTTAGAATGACGTAAGCCCCGCACGCACGCACACATGTTTGAATAATTAATTAATGGATTAATTCTGAATTATTAATTAACAATGATAATTGAACGCGCCTAATGTTCACTTGGAGATTTGAGTGTGGAGGAACAAGCTAGCTTCTTTAACAAAATCTTTAATTTAATGTCTAGCGTTAAGTTATTCATAATTTTACTTTGTCATTCTTAAATATAAGTCCATTTTTATTGCATCACACATGCGAATAAAACTAATTAAAGATTTAAGCATTGAAGCTGTCATAAAATTTAAGAAATTTCCAGTATTGTCTTTATTAACAATATTAAACTCCAACATCATATTAATTTCAACTTCCCCTGCTATTTTTATTAATTATGGACATGCTTGGAAGACAAATGGTTAATGTTGTTTAAATATGCAAGCAAGTTACAATTAGAACCATAATCACGTTTGAGAACGCAACTTACATTTAGGATTGGAGGGAGCATTAAATTTTGATAATACTCCATCTATTACATAATATTCTTTCTCTTACCATCTTAATTTATAAAATATTTTTAAATAAAATTACACATATCAATAAAATTTATTAAATATATTTTATAATTTTTTTTAAAATAAATAAGGAAAATATATCTATCGATTCTTATATTGGTATATATTTCTATATTTTTTTTATTGTAGTTGCCTATAATTTTTTTTGCCTATAACTTTAGTATCTTTATTTTAAAATATACATAAAGAGATGATGATTTGACACTGACAGTGTTAAATGTATTGACTTATCAATAACAATGTTAATGAAATCTCTGATGAGAGAAAAATATTTTTAAAGATGATGTATTTAATATGAGTAAATTGAATTTTTTTTTAAGACAGCTTCAGTATTTTAACTAACCTTTATTGATTTTAATGTAGCTATAAATGACTTATAAAATATATTCCCTTCGTTCTTATATATAAAATATTTTTAATTAAATTATGTAAAATAATAAAAGTTAATTATCTAATTAAAAATATAGCAATATTTTAATTTTATTCTTAATTGTTGTAAATAAAAAATAATTTTTTTAAAATAAATTAATGAGACTATTTATTTTTTAATTTAATAAGAATATAATGATTCATTTATTATAAAATATACTAATAATCTTTTATATTTGTGAATAGAAACATATTTTAAAAGAGCTTTTATATATAAGGTCGGAGATATTAACGAAAAGAAAAAATAAATAATGGGTGCAGTTAGGCCCTGCTTGTGTCTGATTTTTTTAATATTTTTTATTTTATTCCTAATAAATATAATGTACTCCCTCCATCTCATTTAAAAGGCACATTATAGAAGGTTCATTTAATTTTATTTATAAATTATGGTGTAATTTTTTAAATAATATTTAAAAAATATTTTTAAAATTATCTTTTATGAGAAAAAATAACGTAATATTATTTTTTAAATTTATTATTCAGAGACATATTTAAAATTTTATACACTTTTGTTCTTGTTATTTTTTTATTAATATTGATAGAATTAATAAAAATAATTTATAAAAAAGATGATTAGAGTATACTGTATTTGGACAGTTGAGATAAGGAGAAAAAGGGATACTTGGAGGGAGAGCACACACGTTGTATTATAATTAAATTAAATATCCAGCGTCAAGACTGCAAAATTACACAAAGGACTTAATCCAGTTTTTATATATAAAATGTAATAATATAACGATGATTATGGTAAGGGTTTCAGACGAGATCATATCGTTGACCATTTCGCCGCATCCGCATCTACCAACCGCGATCGCGATTCATTTCTGCCAGCCAAGGCCACTCGCTGAGTTGGCGCGTTTCCTCTTTTGCGTCCTTTTTGGGATCTCTCTGAGTCTTTGTTGAACGTAAGTGGAAAGTGAAAGTACGGAAAAAATCAGATAAAATAAGTGGCCTTCGTTGAAATCTACCAACTTCTACTCTCTCTGTCTTTTGAATATTCAGACTCGATCAGCCCATCAACATGACGACGTTGCTTGCACAGAAAAATGGAACAAGAAAAGCCCGTCTTCAACATCATTGTAGTTATTATAATAGGAATAAAATAGTTTCGTCATGATGGAGAGAATGATTTAGCAAGCAAGTTCCTACCCACTCCATTGCCTGCATTGACTTTTGGACTTAAATTGCTAGGGTTTCATGCCCCCACTCGGTGATTTTTCTCATTTTACTCATCTCAATTCTCAAGTAAGACTTTTTGATTCAGTTTTGTACATTGGAACTATTTTTTCCACCATTCTTTGTTTCTTCGTTATGGCTCTCTGCAATTTCAAGTTTTTGATTTTCATTCCCCAGCAAGATAGAATGATTCAAACCAAAATCAACACAAGTTATTGTATAAGGCTTGTTTCAGCTTCTTTTCCATTTTGCATTCGTTAATGTCACGTAAGCAAATGACATTTCGGGTTTTTTAGTTATGTACTTTAATTTTGCTCTGATTGAAGAAATTTTAGGCCTGCGATATATCAACCTTATTGTTCTTTATGTTCAACCCTACAACATGATTGACACTGATCCTTCACATGCCTTGATATTTTATCCGTTCGATCCATGTGGTGATTCCTCTTTATTCATTTCTACCCTATTTCCAGGTTACTGGGATGCTGGGTCCGAGATTTTATGGATTTGGCCTGGCTGTTTCGTTTTGCTGTTTCATTCTCACAGCAGCAGCACAAATAACAGATCCTTCGGAAGGTGAATTTAAATATTTTATATGGATTGGCCTTCTCTGTTTCATCTTCTTATCCGTGTCTCTGGCGCTTCATTCGACTCTGTAGACAAGTACTTCAGATTGAACCATGATGCTACGTTGTGTCAAAACATCACTCAAAGTAGGAAAATGGCATGGCAGTTACCATTGAGAAAATGCTAAAATTTCAAAGTTCCTGCATTAAGTGTTCTTCATAAACTCCCTCTCTCTCCGTGAGTGTGAAGACTCTTAATGCTAATGTGAAAATAAAGAAAGTCTCCACATTTTGCCCGCCCTTCCTAGTTTACTCCAAAGAATACATAGCCCTCACTATCATATTTGGCCTTCATGGTAAGCTGAAAAAAATATTACCTTGAGGTTCCAAGCTCAAATGTTAGTACTAACAAGCGCAAGTAGAAGGATAATTAGTCCTTAGCATAATTTGATTTGGTGAGTGAGGCTTCTAAACCTGATATGTGGTCTATGTTTGTGCTGTCTGTGCCATTTGTAGTGAATGCACTGGTCCAAATCAAGAAAAGTTTGATTGATCCCAAGAACTATCTGAGGAACTGGAATAAGGGCAACCCATGTACATCAAACTGGACTGGTGTTTGGTGTTTTGATAGGGTTGGGACTGATGGATACCTCCATGTCCGTGAGCTGTATGGCCCTTTCTTCTTTCTTTTTCTCTCTCTGTTTTTTTTGGAAGTTTCAATCTGGCAATTTGTATTAGTCAGATATTAGAAAATTAGTGAGGAAAGCTATAGAACTGCAGATGTAATGACAGAGTTCTAATTATTATTCTGCAACTTTACTGAAGTTACTTAATGACTTTGAATCTCTCGGGAAGTCTAGCACCTCAGCTTGGTCAGCTATCTCAGCTTCATATAATGTGAGTTGTATCACTGGATAAACTTCTATCTAGAAATTAAACAGGAGATTGAAGTGACACTTTCAGCCATGCTAATGTCTTTATTGTTTTCCTTATGAAGGAATTTCATGTGGAATGATCTGACAGGCACCATACCAAAGGAGATAGGAAATATCAAATCATTGACACTCTTGTAAGATGGCTTAGACTTTTCTAGAGCTATTTCCTTTATACAATAATCTGAGATATTGGAATTGATCCTCAAGAGTTAAGACCTTTATATTTTTAGAAGAAATTTGCTGTCCTGCTAGATGATGATGAGATTTTAAGTAAATATGGTCTTACTTATTTATGCATCTTTTTGATCTTTGGTTCAACTCTGCTGACAGATATATTATAAATTAACGTTTAAGATTACTGAGTGACATAAATCTGAAGTCCGGATAAGGTTTCTTCTTGTCTTAGACTACAAAATAATGACTTGTAATAAATTAATTGGAGTTTTCTGTTGTTCTGCTGTCTGTATGTGAGTGTGCATGGTTGAAGAGAAGTGAACGTGCTAATGCTGCAGCACATGAAATTTTCTTATCAATCATGCAACAGAGTATTGATTTAATTCACTCTTATATGCAGTAACATAAAAATAACTATTCTTTGTGTGAACTGCCTCTGCAGGCTCCTGAATGGCAATAAGTTATCTGGTGCTTTGCCTGATGAACTTGGCAATCTCTCAAATTTGAATAGGTTCCAAGTTGACCAAAACCAATTGTCAGGTCCAATACCACGGTCATTTGCCAACTTGGTCAATGTTAGACACCTGTGAGTGAATATCCAAGCTAAATGCATCATTAACTTGGTTTGGAGCTGGATTTCTTATGTTTACTTTATCTGTTTTATTTTCATCTTTCCAGCCACTTGAACAACAACTCATTTACTGGTCAAATTCCACGTGAACTTTCAAACCTACCCATTCTACAGCACTTGTAAGTTTTCAAGGCAGAAGGCTTTTCTTCACCTACCTTGTGGTTTCAAACCTCTATTAGCGGCATGTTTCTCCATTTTCTAATTCGTGAACAAGTTCTTCAGTGTGTTTACTTGTTGAGATGACATTACAGGCTTGTAGACAATAACAACTTTTCTGGCTATCTTCCACCAGAATTTTCCGAGTTACCGGCGTTGCGCATACTGTATGCTTCTGTTCCCAGATTGTTTAGATTAAATAGCATTAATCAGTTGTGGTTGTTGACATATATCTTCTTGATTTCTCTGCTTATTCACTGTCTCTGAGGGTTTCTTTTTCACCTCTCCAATTTTTTGTGTGCTGGAGGATTAGTGAAGAGTGTAAATATTATGCTCTTATATCAAATGACAGTCTCGTCATGCTTAAAGTATGGGATTGTGATTTATTATAATTGTTTGGACAAGGCTTGTTGTTGTTGTTGTTGTTTGGATGCTCACACCTGCACTACAGAAGCATCAATAACAGGAAATATTGGCATGAGGGACATGACTAAATAGCTTAAAAGAGTTTATGTGTGGGCTCCTCTGGTTTCTGCTCAAGGATGGGCTTAGCTGATTCCAATATCTGGGAGCACAGCTTGCCCTGTTTGTTGTCACACATACATGGACTTGTAAATACATCTACCCATACAAATACAGTTACAGAGATACAGGCTACTTGTGTAACTTTCATCTCTTGGAAGGAATTTTAGCATTGACGGGAAATGATTTAAATAATTTGAGGGTATCGTAAAGAATAAAAAGGACCACTATTTCATGAGTTTATACAGGATATTTTGGAAGTATAATGTTCTATCTCTCCTTAAGAAGTTTAAGCAACTAATAATGTAACATTAACTCTCTAGAACCACCTTTCAATTCCCCAGTTGACTTGCCTTTTCATGAGCTAGCTACTTTTATTTCTACCTTCTAAATGTGAATGGTTCTGATAGAGTACTGCACTCACAAGGGATCATGGGATAGTGGATGAAGTCTTAGTGGATCAGTTTGTTAGCATATTTTTAGGAGGTGTTTACTTAGTTTCAGTTGAAGAGAGAGAGAGAGAGAGAGAGAGAGAGAGATTATCTATAAACATCTCAATTAGGATTTGTTTATTATTAAGTCAATGTTGGCTAGGATCTAGTTGATTATTTTATTATTTATTTAATTATTATTTATGTCTTTTTATATTATAAATAAGGGAAGCAGCTAGTAGGAATAGTTGTTTGATTTTAGGAGATTCTTCTTGCGCTTTATAAGTGTTCTGAGTTTAAGATTCTTGCTCATATTCTGGTAAAGATTTTCTTTCATCTTTGTCAAATTGTGAGGTTAGATTATAATTCCACATTTTAATAAAAAACTTTCCTTCCTTCTTCCTGTCTGCCTATCTTGGATCCTATGAAATTCATTGAATGGCATTGTCAATCTCGTGACTGAAGCATAGAAGCACAATGAAAATAGCATGGGTATATGTGGGACTGAGGAAAAATAACTCCCACTGGGCCACTGTGGTGGTATGCTTTGTAAATTCTTATAATTGTGGTTGACCACTGAGAAATTCTTTGATTCCTAAAATACTATAGTCAGCTGCAGGAATATTGTAGAGTGATTAACATTTTTGTGCTTTAGAAAATCAGATCTTACTCTTACTACCACTACCTGATAATTAAATAATTGTCTGGTAGCTTTAATGTTTGATGCTTTGAACATCTATGTGCATGGTCTTGTTTGTTTATACTTCTACTTTTAGGGCTGATAGATGCCGCCACATGCTAGCTTTCTGTTATGCGTGCTTATAAATCTTTATATTGGGAAGAAAAAGTAATGTAGCTATAGCCATGTCCTCATTTTTTTTTATTTTTTTTTTGTTACCTGTTGCAGGCAAGTTGATAACAACAATTTCAGTGTAGCAGAAATTCCTTCTACATTTGCAAACTTTTCCAAGCTAGTAAAACTGTAAGCATTCCTATTGATAACGCTTTTTCTTTATTTTTATTCTAGGATGTTAGAGATGTTAGATAATTTAATTTTAAGGCACCATCCTTTGACTCTCATATTATGGCCTTAACCATTAGCCAGATGATGTGAAAGAATAATTCTGGGCAATAGAGAAAATAAATAGAGATAGGAGAGATTGGAGAGAAGAACAGGGAGAGGTTGAAAGGAATTGAGAAACACAAGGATCCTGAATAATACAGTTCTTATCATTGGAGATAGGATTACAAGTTAGATGTCCCATTATTTATAGGTTTCAAACACTCACACTCCCCAACAGCTAAATCCCAATAACTGTCATTTAAATCTAAAGTACAACAAACTGATAGATAATTACAAAACTATAACACCAGAAGGTTCTTTGACATTTTTTCTAAACCTTGTTAATCATGAAGCCAGAGTTCTATCTATCCTTCTCTTTCACAAATTTAATTTTCCATTCAAGATAGAAGAGAGTTTATCTTTACATCCTTCAAGGATAAAAATCTTTTATATATGAGTGCATGTCGGACATGAAAGTATCCTTTGGGCAAGTGACTGCTCAAACTTCAAGATTGATGGGTTTTTTTGAGACAGGATATCCTTAATGAATGCGGCCAAGGAATTGGCATGCCCTTTGCCCAGCTGATACTGCATTTCCTTTAGAAACAATGACTAGAAGATTCTATTGCAACTAAAATTTAAGGGGGGTGGGGGAATACGAACAAAGGACAAGAAATTACGTGGGAGTTTTCAATTTTAACTTTGAGATTATAACCAAGACTGATTTGGTTTCCTGAGCTAACGTATCTTCTCTGACTTAACAGAAGTCTTAGAAACTGCAGCTTGCAGGAGCGGTTCCTGATCTGAGTTCAATAAAGGAGCTTACCTATTTGTATGTTCAAATAAATTCTATTTTTCTTTTACTTGTGACTGATGGCACCTCAAAGTTTTACTCCATTCTCTATAGACTACCTGTTAACCTGTGTCTGGTTCCTGTTTCAGGGATCTTAGCTGGAATCATCTTACTGGATCCATACCATCGAAGAAACTTTCAGATAATATGACAACTATGTATGTATATAGCCGATTTACTTCTTTGTATTTTGTAGCTTTAATGCCCCAAATTGCCTTATCTACTTGCAAAGCATATATTTATGTTAAGTATGACCATTTGATGATTGACATTGTAATTTTCTTTTTATGACAGTGACCTATCAAATAACAAGATCAACGGATCTATTGCTGAAAGCTTCAAATTACTTCCTTTACTTCAAAGATTGTGAGAACATACTCATAAATCTGTAATTTTCATGGTAGCCTATGATGGATTACAAAGTAATATTTTGAATATCTTAATATAAGTCTTCTAGAAAAAAGCGAGCTGCCATCAAGAATATACGTTAGCATGGGCAATACTTTCTTTTTTTTTTTTTCATATTTTCTTTTTGAATTTGTCAATGGCAGGTCACTAGCGAACAACTCTTTGTCTGGATCCATCCCTGATAGTATATGGCTGAACATGTCCTTCAGTGGGAGTGCTAAGCTCACAATGTAAATTCTGAATCCAAATCATGTTGTTTACAAATCTTGTAGGAATTCTCTGCATCCAGCTAACTCTTCTCTGAGCTAGAATACTTGGAGTATATCAAGTTTTCATCAGCCACTTAACGGTTTTAGTAGGTGGAATGGATTTTCAAATTAAATTTTAATGCTTTGTCCAATCTATGCAGTGATCTTCGCAATAATTCATTTTCAGACATTTTAGGCAATTCAAGTCTTCCAGCAAATGTCACCTTGAGGTATTCTTATTGTTCAATGTTCATATTTAGTAACAAATGGACTTCCATGCATCTGACATATTGCATGATATGCTTCTCTCTCTATTGCTCTGTTGTTTGATTCATGAACATAATGTGGCAATCATTCTTGGTTGTATTTATATGGATTTCTGATATGTATTTGAAATTGAAGAAAATGCATTCTCTTACAAGTAATTTAGGATCCTTATAAACAAGGTCCGCTGTAACAATCTACAATGGAATGCAGGAGACTAGATTATCACTAAACCTTAGGACAGTCTCAAGTAAGCTGCAATGCATGCAATGCAATGGAATCCATATGATTAATCTAATAATGATGACAAAAAAAGGTGTCCCATTCTCAAGCTTTTGGCAACTTGATAGGTTTCTGTATTGTTTGACCTCCTCATGGTATTTGCTCTTGCTTCCTTTTAAGTTACTTGCTGGACATGCAAAGTGATTTTGGGGTCTTTGGGCTAATACATATTTCTAATAGGTTTTTCTGTTGTTCAGCTAAAGCTGTGCTTGTCTCTTTTAATAATGAATTCTCCTGGGTGGGGCAAAAGAGGTGATATGAAAAGGCTTGTTGTGCATTTATGATACTATCTAACATGTTAAAAAAAGGTTCTCTAAAATTGATGGTTATTTCAAAATGATTGGCTCTTGGCGTTGCCATTTTCTTACCAATTTCTTTCTTTTTTTTCCTTGAAGGCTTGCTGGCAATCCTATCTGCAAGAATTCTAACATTCAAAATATTGGTCAGTATTGTGCCTCTGAAGGGGTTGAATCTGAGGAACCTATGAATTCAACAACTTCTTGTCTTGTTCAAGCTTGTCCAGTGGATGATTTCTATGAATATGTCCCAGCTTCTCCTGTTCCCTGCTATTGTGCAGCACCTCTGAGAATTGGATATCGTCTGAAAAGCCCAAGTTTCTCTTATTTTTCTCCTTATAAAGCTTATTTTGAGTTTTATCTGACTCAGTCTTTACATTTGGGCCAATACCAAGTATGGATAGATTCAATTGCTTGGGAAGCAGGACCTCGTCTCAGGATGTATTTGAAAATTTATCCTAATTATAATGACTCCCATGCTAATAAGTTCAATACAAGTGAGGTACGGCGTATTCAAGGCATATTTGGATCATGGAATTTTCCTCGCACTGATCTTTTTGGACCATATGAACTCCTGAACTTCACTCTCCTAGGACCTTATGAAGATTGTAAGTTTCTTAATCAGCATCATTCCTTACTTAAGTGATCATAGACAGCACATTATCAATTTATGCTAAATTCTTATTTATCTTCTTAACTTACCACCATATGTATGTAACATTTACCACAAATCTAATGATCTTTACTTCTTGCAAAAGTGATTGGCGGATTTTTATTCATGATACAAAGAAATTAACTGTTTTCTTTTGGTGTTTTGGACTATAATCATTGTCACTTTTGTCTCATGTACAAGGAGATCCCATAGCTACCTGTATATTTTTCGGTAAAAAGTTTTAATGCTCATTCATTCATTAATCCAAATCGATTCTTCTATTAAACTAGAAAAATATAGAAGACTATTTTGATCAACCAAAGATTTGAGTGTCAATGAAAAAGCAAGTACCTTTTTTGTCTACCTAGAATTAAAATTGATGTTTATGACTCAAATTGGATGCATCTAATACCTGACCTAATTTTTTTTCATATTGAATTGAATTATAGCATGTTTTCCTTATTGAGTTTCTCTAATTTACTTCGCCTGTTATTGTCGTAGTAATTGTTGAGACAAATAAGAGGAAGATCAGTACAACCGTGATAGTAGTTGCCATAATTGCAGCTATTGCTTGTGCAGCGACGATCTCTGCAATTGTCACTCTCGTGATAGCTAAAAGACATATTAAATACCGGTCCAAGCTATCCAGGAATCATATGTGTGAGTATTACTTGTATCTAAAGTGAGTGCGTGCATTTGCACTAAATCCATGATAAGTTACACTACTTATGGCTTGTAAACTGTTCAGCTCCTTACATTTTTAATATTTTATATTGCGGTGAACAATATCATTCAAAAGTTCTAAATCTTATTTCTTTTTGCAGCCTCTAATATTTCCATCAAAATTGATGGTGTGAAAGCATTCACTTTCAAAGAACTGGCTCATGCAACTGACAATTTCAGCAGTTCAACTATAGTTGGCCAAGGAGGTTATGGGAAGGTTTATAAAGGCATTCTGTCTGATAAAACAGTTGTGGCCATAAAACGAGTAGATGAAGGTTCTTTACAAGGACAAAGAGAATTTCTGACTGAGATTGAACTTTTATCAAGGTTACATCATCGAAATCTAGTTTCATTGGTCGGATTCTGTAATGAAGAAGGAGAGCAGGTAATTTTTCTAAGCTAGTTTTTCCTTATCTTGCTATTGTTTCTTTAAAAAAACATTTGAATTGTTTGTGGGTGCAGCATTTGTGTATTGTGTGTGCGACTGTATAATATTTTAACCCTCTAGCAAACTAGCCGTTGAGTAAAAACTTTTAACAAGGTAGAACCCAATTCCTATTTGTCCTTGAATTCCACATGCAGCCTATTTGTCTCCTTCAGGCTGTCAAAGTCCTTTGTTATGTCTGTTCTTTATGTTGATTTGGTTAAACATGTCTGTTCTGTGTTGAGGTTACATGTGAATTGGATTTATGACAAATAAGGCCTCTTGTTATTTAGTAAGTGAATTGCATGCTCTTACTGATTCTTCTCTTTAAAGCAGTCAATAGATATTGAAGTTACGACAATAAGGACTTTATTCTAGTTCTTCTATTTTAGTATCTAAAATATTTAATGTATTTTAGATGCCAGATCATATTAATGAGTCTCATCTACCATTCTGCTGGTTCAGATTCTGGTTTACGAATTCATGCCTAATGGTACCTTGCGGGAGTGGATTTCTGGTATGAAAATGTTGAACCTTCAAATTACATTTACAATGCTTTCAGTGTCTAATATAAAATAGGTGTCTCTTTCATTATTTGTTTAGTGCTTCTTTTAACTTCCTTTTTTATGTATGTCACTCATCTGTTCTACTCTTCATTTGCAAAAATATTGTTGATATGTTTGCAAGGAACTTTGACTTTTTTTGTAAATGACAATGTTAAAGTAATAAACCATAATAATTCCTCCATTTTTAAATATATACCTTTTTATGGGGAAATTTTTTGTTTAATTTTATGTCTTTTTAGCAGCATTTGTTATGATTTTTTCTATTATACCCTTATTTACTCCAATTATTAGGCTTTAGGGGAAATTTTGACAATGCACTCAGTATTGTTATGTATTAATTGCATTTCTTAATTGTGTGTAAATACTTTAGAAGACAAACATTTTGAAACAGAGGGAGTAGCTTTATAAATGTACACTGATGCATATGGATGTGGTGGCTACTGAGAAAAATATTTTTTTTTTTTTCCTGGGTAGGAAACAAAATTTGAATACGGTCATTTGCATTACAAATCTGGACATGGGAGAAAGAAACAATGGGGACTAATTAAATTATCTAGAAAAGGAATATGGAAACGGGAAGCAAAAAGTAACACTTATTGAAGTAGAAAGAAAAAAATACTTTTTAACATGAAGATTCAATCACGATTAATCCTTTATGCAGGTCCTCTCAAAGTCAGGCAATAACCTGGCACTCTATGATTTTGTGGTTACAATAATTCTGTTTTGACATGTAATGTAAAGTATTGTTCATGTAATATAGCTTCTAAAGGTCACCATTGTTACTTCATGTGGTTCTCAAATACCTTCACCATGAAATCTGCTAAGCCCTGGTGTTTCTCTGCTAAGTAGTATTTATGTGCATCGTTATATGATAGGTAAAAGAAAGGGAAACCTAAACTTTGGTATGAGGTTGAGGATTGCAATGGGTGCATCCAAAGGCATACTGTATCTCCATACCGAGGCTAACCCTCCGATATTCCACCGAGATATTAAAGCTAGCAACATACTTCTGGACCGATTGCTAGTTGCTAAAGTGGCTGACTTTGGACTCTCACGTCTTGCTCCAAATATGGATGATGAAGGAAACACACCTAAATACGTGTCAACAGTTGTGAGGGGAACACCGGTAAGTTTGCTGCAGAAAATTGGAGGAATGACTTAAGTTCCTATTATTGAGGACTGTACATTAGCACGCACACACGTCTCTCTCTCTCTCTCTATATATATATATACATGTATATTTGTATGTATGTCTAGGAGTTTTATGCAGTATTGGCAATTGGCAGTGTCATTGTAAGATTGTTCTGGCTGGTCATCTTCTTCCCCTATTAGTTTTTAAATGCTTCTACTCATACGTTTCCAGGGGTACGTAGATCCAGAGTACTTTTTGACTCATAAGTTAACAGACAAAAGTGATGTTTATAGCTTGGGGATTGTGTTTCTAGAGCTTTTGACAAGCATGCAACCAATATCACATGGGAAAAACATTGTTCGTGAGGTACCATGTTTAATATAAGTGTTCTCTCAATCACAGCAATGTTAGAAAAATGATGGTTATTTTAGATTTTTTTTTTCCTTTTGTAGTTTAGTTGGATTTTATGCTATTATATGGTAAGAAAATCAACTTCATGAACATATTGATTAAAATAAATATTAAGAACATCATATTACTGTTGGTCTAATTCATTCTTCAATCATCGCAAGAAAAAATTATCACTATTGGTTTGATCTGATTTAGGTAATGCTTGGATTGATGTATTTGAATTTGAGTTTTACATTTAAAATCTCATATTTAAAATTCTTTGTTTGGATAGTGTAAAAAATTTTAAAGGTAGAAGAGAGATGAGGTAAGATTTGAGGCAAAATGAAAGCTTGAGAGTGATGAGTTTGCCTCTGTTTTTCAATAAGTAAGAGACGAGGACAAGAGATGCGAGGAGAGGTAAGAGTAACAGAGGCATTAATAATGAAAATGTGAAGAAAATGAGAGAGTAGGAGTAGCTGACATTTGAAATAATTAAGGTTTAGAGAGAATTTGAAATTATAAAGAAGTTATAATAAAATATGAATTTGGATTTGAATCATATCCAAATTCATAGATTTTTATGCTTCCAAATGGGAGATTTGGTTCAAATCCAACTCTAAATCCTCATTCATCCAATGCAGTCTTAATTCTTTTCAGTTTTAGTGGATTTGATTTTTGGAAATCAGTTTGGTTTTGAACTAACGATGCTGAATGTTATGTCAGGTTAACGAGGCTCGTCAGTGCGGCGTGATATCTTCCATTATAGATAGCAAAATGGGTTCATATCCATCAGGTTGTGTGGACAAGTTTCTAAATCTTGCCCTCAGTTGTTGCCATGAGAATCCAGAGGAGAGACCGTGCATGGCAGATGTGGTGAGGGAGCTAGAGATTATCCTTTCGAAGTTGCCAGATTCTGAAACTTCTTACCCAGACATTGCATCTGATTTTTCTCTCAAAATGGCTTCACCTTCGTCATCATCAACATCCTACATGGCAAGGGAGGGCCAACACATGTCCTCTCCTATGTTGTCAGGAAGCAACCTTGTCAGCGACGTTATTCCCACCATTGTTCCTCGTTAATTAATGCCACACGCACAGTCTTAGACGAAAGATTGTAGGAGATCAAGTTGGAAGTAGACAGATTCTCTTTGTGCTAGTGTTCAAAATTTGGTTCGTGGACTTATTATAATGGTTGAGAGGAGAACACGATCCCGTAGCTATGGGTGCATTGCATATATCAATAATAAGAACAATGGACCAAATCTGAGACAGCAGAAGACAGTGAAGGTACATAGTATGTTGTGTTTTTCTGCATAAACAATAGGAAAAAGGTTGTTACTTGTTAGTTAAGGAAGCTGAGACTGGGATGGGGTTTGATTGTATTATAGAAGATGTAGTGAGGAAATTGGGTGATGTTACCACAAAGTTTGTAGATAGAAATTCTAATTGTGGCACTTAACCCATCCAGAATTTTGATGTATTTTTACATGTGTCAATTAGAAGGCGTGAAATCCCATGCTTTGAATATCGAAACACCCATATTGTTAGCGATGTTGGTCAGAGCATTGGTTGACTGCACTATGGTTGGACTGGTGGCAATTAAAGTAATATTTTTTAAATAATACATGTGAAATAATAATTATACAATATTTATCTATATGTTGTCTATGTCATGTAATACTTATTCAACCATCTAATATTTGCCAAACTAACATAATGTTATGGGTTAAATATTATTTTTTTCTCCTAAATATTTTTAGGAGGTTGGGAACCCTTCACTAAAAGGTGAGACAGTTTCTTTTTTAAATAATTTTTTAAGAGTAAAATTATTTTTTCATTAGAAACCTATCATTTTATCCATCATTTGTTAATGTGAAATAGTTGTAAGGCTCGCATAAAGTAACAAGGCATTTTAATCAATTTTTTTGTTATTTTGCCACTAAAATTAGGCTTGATTCGTGCCATTATCATTGTTACTTCCAATCTTTTAGCTCACATCAAATGTCAAAATGGGTTAGAATACCTTATTGTCAATATGCATGAGTCTCATAACTATTTCATATTAGCATATAATGCATAAAATGATGGATTTATGGCGAAAAGTTGATTTTGCTCCTCAAAAAATTATTTAAGGGGATATATCTTCATTTTTTTATTCAAGGTACCCAGTGCTTTTTAAAAAATATTTAGGGAGAAAAATATTCTTTAACCTTAATCTCATACATGGCCAACTTAAAATATGATTTATTGTCTATTACAAATCATCAAAATCAAGTATGCTTGATTAATTATCTAAGCAAACTAGTACAAGCTTCCATAAGTAATAAGAGCCACCCATAAAAACATCAAATATAATAAAAATGAAGACAAATAATCAAGACAAATAAAAATACAAAGTAACAAAGTGTTGGATTATTGAAATTAAAAAAATAAGAAAAATTGATTCTAATTAGTTTTTTACTTATTACAATCGATTTTATTGGGTTTTCACTAGTTCACTTTTTGGTGGGTTTTCAAAGGTTTTAAAATGGAGCTATGGCCCAATTTTCAATCTGGTCAGTTTGATTTGATTCAAACAACTTTGATTTTCAAGTCAATTTTACGTTAGATTTTCACCTTCTAAAACGTTAGATTTTCATCTTCTAAGCTTAATGTCATTTAACCTCCTATAAAATTTACATTTTACTTTTAATACATAAAAGTTTCATAAATTAATAAAATTAGATAATGGGAAGTCAAACCAAATAAGCCAACATGGCCAATACAATTTCCAGCTCGCTTTGACCAAGAGGAGCCAACAAAATTGGACACTCAGCCACACAGCTTGATCCTAGACAGCTAGACCCAATTTCATCAATTTATTAAATAGATTATTTATTTAAGAACATGGTGAGAGGTTCTTAACTTTATTTTTGTATTATCAATAATGCTATGCTAATTTTTTATGGTAGTTAATTTTAATAATTATCAAGTATTATATAGTATCAAATTAATTAATATCAACAAGTATCGGTGAAGTTGAAAAAGAATATCAGCCAGTGCCGTTGATTTCTGGGGGTGCCCACCAGAAGGAAGAAGGATTGTGCACAGTTCAGTTTGCCCGTTCCCTTTTTCTACATACGCTGTACCAGACGGTGGCCAATAGCTACGAAACCGCTTCTCAATTTCGTTATCTGTTTCAAACAAAACAATGGGCTCTCTTTCTCTCTTTCCTTCCCACTAATCAAACTACATTTCACATTAAAATATCTGTTTCACCTTCCGTCCCCCTTGGCGGGTTCTTTTCTTCTGTTTAGGAGCGTGCGTCTCTTCAGTCCCATCTAGGGTTCTCGCTCCTGCAATCTGCCCGATCTTTTTTGGGTGCTGATCCTTCTCTGCAATTACCCTTTTGGAACTGACTTTTTATTTCAGGGCATTTTCTTGCTATTCCTATTCATTTATAATTCTGATTTTGGGGATGCCCTCGACTTGGAATTTGATTGAGTTGAGAAAGTCGCTTCTTTTATGAATATCACATGAGGCGAGATTCTGAATATTATACGAAATTGAGTTTTTAATCTGCCCCGTTTCTTTTGCGGGGTGGTTGTTAGAGGAGGTTCATTTGTCACCCATTTTTCATTAGAAAAGGATATCTTTTTCTTGTGATCAACATACATGCTTCTATGTTTTTTGGAGTGTCAATGGGAAGGCATAGGTAACTATGTCTCGGTGCTAATCTCTCTCTCTCTCCCACAATTATTTATTTTGCAGGAAAGTTGACAAGAGGCCCAAACTTCGTTTGAATTCGGAAATCTCAACTCCTGGTTGCTTTGTCTAGACCGCCTCACGCATTTTTTCTCGTAGTTGATATCATTGACTTCCTAATTGCGATCGTAGCATCTTCTTTATGCTATGAGCTTCTGTCCTGCATCTTTGATTGATCATGGAGCAGTAGCTTCTGAACATTTTATTTGGGGCTGGTGACGTAAAGAAAGCCCTGTATCTGTTTACGTCTGAAAGAAGAATTTCATTCATATGGCTTGGAATCTAAAGCTGCCGTTATATGTCGCTGTCTTGTTTGTACTATCCCTTGTTCTCTTATCAGGTAATTCAGAAGCTGAAGTCGAACATGAAGTTGCACATAAACTTAGATCTGCTCCGGATAAGAATGTAGGAAGCAAGGTCATCGATGGCACTGGTCTAGAGAATTCCCTTGCTTTTGATGAAACCAATAGTGTGCTGAGTGATAGGAAGGGTGGAAGTAGTAAAGTTTCTGTTTCAACAGTTGCATTATTTACACTGGCAATGGCGGCTGCCACCGGTTTAGGTGCTGTACCCTTCTTCTTTGTGGAGCTTGATCCACAGTGGGCTGGATTATGCAACGGAATGGCAGCAGGTGTCATGTTGGCTGCAAGTTTTGATCTTGTACAGGAAGGGCAGGATCATGGAGCTGGAAACTGGGTTGTGATTGGGATTCTAGCTGGTGGAATTTTTATTTGGCTTTGTAAGAAGGTGATGAAGTTCTTGCCCGTTCTCAGTACCAAAATCATAATTTCTCTTGCTTTGAAAAAAGTAGTTGAATCAATATATATATATATATATATGGAAACAGTGGTTCTGTGCCGATACATGAACTTTTCTTCAGTGTTGCTGTGACTATGTGAACATTTTGAAATGCTTCTCGGCTTTCCATAAACCTTTGTATGATAATGCCATTAGGGGTGACTTTGGCTTCAAATATGTCATTTTAAGGTTCTTAACTTTGGTAGATCGTATCAGTAATGTCCTACATGTTCTTTTTAAGTGAATGTTGACTATCTAATATGTATTTTTCAAGACTTTTTAAAAAAAAGTATAACTGAAAAAACCAAGTTATTTGCTTTCAGCGTATCTTTTAAGGGCAAACCTACCTACTCCATGAATTTCGCAAATACGGTAATTTGATCATTTGATGAAAGAATTCAATTTTTGTCAATATCTTACGTGATTCTTTTCTCTTTCTTATCTCTTAAGATTCAGTTATGGATATAAATCTTGTATCCTGCCTTTATAGTTTCATTTTTTTTGTTCATTACATTCTTATTTTGTTCTACATTATCTCCTTGGTTTCAGTATCTTGAGCAATATGGGGAAGTAAGCATGTTGGATATAAAGGGTGCTGATGCAGCCAAAGTGGTCCTAGTTATTGGAATAATGACACTTCATTCTTTTGGAGAGGGTTCTGGGGTCGGGGTCTCCTTTGCTGGTTCAAAAGGTTTCTCTCAAGGTCTGTTGGTTACATTGGCTATTGCTGTACACAACATACCAGAGGGATTAGCTGTGAGCATGGTGCTAGCATCAAGGGGTGTCTCCCCACAGAATGCTATGTTATGGAGTGTAATAACATCTTTACCTCAGGTATTATTGTCGTTGTTGTTCTTGTTCTTGCTATATTAAAAGTTGAACCATCTTACCCCATAAAGGGAAAAATCTTAAGTCAGACCTATAGAGAAACTGTCATGCAGCAGAATCAAACTGTCTTATATACAGCTGTCATTTTGCATTGCCAAGATACATTGATGATCTATTAAGATAAAATAGCAACTGATAAAGATATAGATAAATGACTCTTTGGCACAACTCAAGAATCAGTATTGTTTGCACTTCAGAATTCAGATACTGTATGTTAACATTGTTGTGAGATTCTTAATGTTTGGGCATGTCTTCATTGTTATAATGATCTCGGCATGTGGTGTGCTTGAGTCCGCTGTGAGTAGTGTGCTTGAGTCTGCTGTGAGTGAGGTGTCAGTCGTTGCATGGTTTCTCCTCTCAATTCTAAGTTTTATTTTTCTTTTATTAACTTATATTTTTCCTTTCAATGGAAATCACTACAATGAAGCTGCTGAATTATTTCTAGTTGGGTTTTGCACTGAGGCAGTGCTGTCTAACTTGAAGGGATTAGTTTCTCTTCTCTACTGTTACATAGAACTATGAAAGATTTGGTAGCTTCTTCAATTTTATCATATCTAATGAAGTCATATCCTGTGTGAGTTTGCTTGTACCGTGCAGCTTAGTCCCATGGACTGTCAATTTCTGCTCAAGTTTATGAAATTATATTTAGTGTCTATCATTTGTACCATTAATATCATTAATTGTAGCAGTTAACATTGTTATCAAAATCTTACAATTTGAATCAAGGATTGAATTTGAAGTAGTCCTAAATTTGCCAATTAATTGTATGAATTAGGGCATTTTGAACCAATGTTGCAGAATCACGTGTTTCTTAAATATAGACGTGAGTGGAAACAATGAGTTGATGGCAGTATTGTGTTATTTTTTTTGTTGTGTTTTCACTGCTTGCAAGGAACGTCACTCAAGAATTAATTACTCACATATTAATGAGTGTGTTTTTTCATAGTTTCTTGACTCTTGTGTCGAATCTATTATATTGATTATTTTATGCATATTTTAAGAATATATATACATATATATTCATATTTTATAGGATAAATTGCACAAAACCCCTCCTTTTGAGAATGTTGGTTCATATACAGATAGCTCTCGAACTTACAAAAGTTGATAATGAATTTCCTTAAACTTTTAAACTTGTTCAGATATTCATTTACTGTCAGTTCAGATTTTAACTGCACATGATCTAAAGTTCTTAAGATTATTCGCACCTAAGTTTTAAGGGGATTATCTACACAAATTTGAAATTTTATGGTGACTTTTCAAGTTTGAAGTTTGAGGAGTATTTACACATTACTTCAAAGTTTGACATTATATGCAGTTTACTCTATTTTATATTTCAAGCATTTTCAATTTGTTTCTAAATTTTTTGACTTTATATTATTTATGATTGTGATTCGGGATTTGGAAATATGTTATGGATTCTTAATTTGTATGGCAATGTGACTGATGGTGATTAATAATTGTTGAATGGTTGAGTTCTGTGGAAACGTGATAATCATGGCTTCATTATAGGTTGCTTCAGTAGTGGCTTAAAGATTACCCTTAGGCATGAGCTACGCTGATAAACCACCAACAAGTGGTTGTTGAACTTGTAGTTTTTTGGCCATGGCCTCTTACCATGTTATGCATGATTTAATGCAGCCAATTGTAGCAGTTCCTTCATTTATGTGTGCTGATGCATTCAGTAAGTTCCTGCCTTTCTGTACGGGGTTTGCAGCTGGATGTATGATCTGGATGGTTGTTGCAGAAGTACTCCCTGATGCATTCAAGGTAACATACTTTACTATGCACCCTGCTTCCTCAGGGCTCTGTTCGCCTGGGATCCATACCGCATGCCTTGTGACATTTTTTGATGCTTGGATACCAGGAAGCCTCTGCCTCACAGGTTGCGTCAGCAGCAACCCTTTCTGTAGCATTTATGGAAGCTCTCAGCACATTCTTTCAAAATTTCAGCCATGACTACAAGTGAGTTTATGAGAGGGAATACATTGAATTTTTAGTTTTCCACATCACCTTTCTGCAGAAGTAACATTTTCCACTTTTTTGCACCCCCCTTTTTTTGTTCCTGAAAGTTTTATTTCTTTGTGCAGCTCTGAGGACGCTTCTGGCTTCTTTGTTTCATTACTTTTTGGCCTTGGCCCATTACTCGGTGGCATCATTCTGGTTGCATTTGCTCTTGCCTTTCATCTCCGGCATGCTCTCCTTATGGGCACGGCTTGTGGGATTGCTTTTGTTCTTGGTGCTTGGCGACCAGTGCAGCTTATTTTGTCTACAAAGCTGGGATTTTTTCCTGTTTTATTCCTCCTGGCAGTGGGGGCTGCTTTCGTCCATGTTTCTAGCTCGAGTATGTTAAAGGTTACAGCTCACAAAAAGACCTCTGCCAGTGACTTACCGACAGTCACCGGGTTCCCATTAAGCGTTCACACCCTTCAATCATTCATTTCATGTGGAACAGTTGCTTTTCATGCTTTGGCTGAAGGACTCGCATTGGGAGTGGCTGCACCAAAAGCATATGGACTTGGCCGTCACATGGTCCTCCCAGTCTCTCTACACGGACTTCCACGGGGAGCAGCGGTGGCTAGCTGCATCTTTGGTGCAACTGATAGTTGGCATGCCTCGCTTGCAGCAGCTGCCATAATTGGATTCATGGGCCCAATATCAGCAATTGGGGCTATTCTTGCCGGTATTGACTATAGCGGTCTTGACCATGTGATGGTCTTTGCCTGTGGGGGATTGATCCCAAGTTTTGTTAATATGGTTAAGAGAGCACTAAGTTTAGAAAAAAGTAAAAGCACTTGCGGCCTCATTATGGGTATGGGGTTTGCTATTTTATGTCTGACATTCACTAGGCTGGTTTGCTTGCATACACCTTACTGCAATTCTGCACCAGAAGCTGTCAGATAGGATGATTGTGGTGCATTATCATCTATTGTCGATGTTCTTATACAACAGACGTATTGATCTCTTTGGGTTGATCACCCATGTCCCTTGCTATGAAGTGTGAAGAGATCATGAATGAGGGAGAGGGTGATGCTAAGCTCAAATTGCTTCAATCCTTTGCAGATATTGTAGTTGTGTTTTAGTTTTATTGACCAACAGAGACTGCAGGGATTGGTGTGTCATTTATACTGGAGCTGGCTTTTTGGGGGCTTTAAAAGAAGCTAACGGGCTATATACACACACCTTATTGAGGCAGATTTATTGCAGGCGCTAAAGTTTGTATTCAAGAATCTGATGTTTGTCATAGTTAGCTTTTACGTTGTATATAGCTTTAGATTTTATTGATCTGAACCCAAATTTGCTACACTATGATTAACACAGTAAAATTCTTGAAAAGTCAGCAGTTTCTCGTTCTCTTTCGTCTCGCTGGTTCTGGGTGGTTTGGGTCGTGTATTGCAATACTTCGTCTAACACAGTAATCTTTGTCTTGTTTGGTTATTAGTGTTTTAATTAATTTTTTTTACCAGATGTTAATACAGGATAAAGAGCGGTTTAACTGGTTTGAATTAATATATTGTGGGTATAAATTATAACATATGACAGTATATAGTTGAGTGATATTTATAAAATATTGTAAAATTTTATCATAATATATTAAAATTATTATTAATTTAAAAAATCAAATTTCAGATTGATTATGACTAATTATTGATTATTGATTTATCGTTTTATTTGGGAAACAATTTGTTTTCCATGTTTGATACAAACTTGTATTAATTAATTGTTCTTTGGAGACAATTATTGACGTGACCATTAAAAAATTATATGATACAAATCTACTGGCAAAAGAAAATAACATTAGAATGTTTAATAGATACTCCTTTCATTTAAAAATATAAAATATTTTTAATTGAATCTTATTCCTAATAAAATAATTATCTACTTTTAAATTAATTTTATTTTTTCATATTTAGCCCCATTAAATACTTTATAATAAATATAAGGTCATTATCAATAGAGACACTTTTATAAAAAAATAATAATTACACCTTGAAAGATTAAAAATGTCTTATATTTTTGAACATTCAACTCTTCAAAAGTGCTTTATATTTTGTTAAGGGAGAAAGTAACATTTATTTATAACTGTTAGAATTAGACGGAACAGATAGGAGAAATAATCTACAATACATTAATGTATAATTTAAAACTATCGTAGATTACAAGATATTAATTTAGAATGAGCTAAACGAGGCCCCGTGTCTGGCCGAAAAACAACAAAGAAGCCCTACGGAAATGCACAAGATAAATTAATAAAATCATAACAATCGCAACCAATTCAAAAAAAAAAAATTAATTAATTTTTTAAATAATAAAAGTGGTAAAAAGTTGTTTTCGCTGCACAGACATATGTAAAATATTTTTTATTTTTACTACATGTGATGTGGTGTGAGCCCCTGTATGCTTCTTATCTTACCTGACAAATTTACATACTCTCATAAAATGATATTTAAACTTAAAATTATTTATTATCAAGAAAAATTTTTCATACCTAACTGGCCAACTACAAAATAAACTCATTCATCCATAGGTGAACTCCTCACTCTAGCAGTCTAGCTAGTTCCTCTACAAAAGATAAATGGCAAGCGCAATACTCAGAAGAAACTAAAGCCTCTCATAGCCTAACTCACTGACTAACCAAGTAATGGTCCTTGTCTTTGATTCCTTCCATTGGTTATCACTTCGCTATCGACTCATTGCTCTGCAACTTCTCTTCTCTGTTCTCCAAACGCACCTTCTCTGCAGCAACAGCAGCTAATGGCTTCTGTTGTTCTGACACACTCTGTGAACCAGTCAACCTCGCCAGTATCACAAAGGACATGCCTCCAACAACATTGTTCAAGCACCTCAGGACAAACACAGACGACTTGAATGCCAATGGAGGAAGACCCTTCTCCAACAAAAACTCAATCCCATTCAGAGTTTGGTACCTCAGATTACTGCTAACTCCCATGTGAGCTGCCCAAGTCACAGCATTCAACAGTGTAGGAGGAGGCTTGTTTGGAGTCTCAAAGTTTGGATCCATCTTCTTCCTGATCTTGATCAACCCATTTGAAATTGCAGTCCCTACAAGCCCAGCAGCGAACCCAACTGCTGCAAACACAGTTCCTTTGTACACTAGAGTTCCAAATCGATCCAGGATCCCATAAGCACCTGGTTCAAACATGTGGCTCTTAGGACAGCTTGCAAAGATTGAAGGTAAACTGGAGGAGGAAGAAGCCATGGTGGGTGCTAGTAGATACATGAGGGTGAAATTCAGAATAGAGCCAACAACAAGCGTGGAGAAAACGAAATCCAGCTCGTTCAATCCGAAATTTGGACGAGAAGCCATGTCTCCGATCACACAAGCGCTCACACCCACCAGTTCCTCCATCAGAACCTTGAAAGGAAATTGGGGATCAGCGGCGACTCGAGATCTCCATCCCGCCAAAAACATACCAAGAATCCCAAGTCCCTCACCCGACGTTGAAGATGGATCATCGGAATTCCCATCGTCGCCCCGATTGCCATTGTCACCGTCACCTCCTCCGCGCCCAACTCCGTCGCTACCATCACCGCCAGCGAATGAAATTTGCAGATTCTCCGGCAAATTGGGTTCGTAGACGTTTGGGTTGATGAGAGACAGAGATCGATTTCGAGAGTGCAAGGAAGAAGGGAAAGAAATAACGTGATGGGGATTGAATGCGCGAGCGTCCGAAACGGCATGGTAGGAGCCAGAGAGAGGAGAAAAACGAAGTTGAGCCATGGCTGCCATGGTGGTTCAGCTTAACCCTCGATCTGGAACAGAGATAACAAACAAATACCCACGAATAGCTTACATAAAGAAAAGCATACAGATTTTGAAAATTTAGCATAAGAACATCATTCCCAGATCATGAACAGAAAACAAAAACTAGACAACAATAACAGATTCATAACCAAACAAAAAAAGCGAGAAGATCGGGAAAAGCGAAAGCACCTGAATGAGAGTGAAAAGATGAAGAATGAAAGTGTGGAATACGAAGGAGAAGACGGAAGAGAGTGATGGGTTTGAGCGAATGCGAGTGGGAAATTCGGAAGCTGAAACCTCCAAACCTTTATAAAGTAACAGGTCTGATTTCTGCAACCCTACGCTGAAAGTGAAAAGGACCTTTCCTAACGAAAAAACAGAATAGTGATTCTTTTTATTCTATTCTATTCTATTTTTAAAACTAATACTACTTTATTTGAATAAAAATAGGAAAATACAATGCTCCCTCTTTTTCATTTCTTTTGTTGGTCGAAGGACATCCAATAAAATATCTTTTCTTGTCCAGGGTTGTGGCACGCGCCTTTTATTATATTAATGTTTTTTTAAACTCTAATTAGTCTAAAGTATAAGGGATTGGGTAAGGTTGTATATATTTTGTTTTAAGGGTTAATGTATAAATAGAATTTTAAATTCTTACTCAAAAATCACCCTAAATTTTAAATTCTTAAAATATATAAAATAAATTTTAAATTTTTAAATTTGTAAAAAAATAAATCCTGACCTTTAACTTTTTTAACATTATTATTGTCCACATGGGTACAGTAACAATTAAGGTTAAATTCATACAAAAATTAACTGTGAACAATACCTAGATGAATAGTAATAATATTAAAAAATTAACAGTTAATGTTTATTTTATTATAAATTTAAAAGCTTAGGGTTTATTTTATATATTTTAAAAGTTTAGAATTCAAGACAATTTTCGAGCAATAGTTCAGAGTCATATTTTCTCATTAATCCATTTTTTAATTATAATCTTATTTTATTATACTCTATTTAAGTAATTAATACAATTATTTTAAATAAATTAAATGTTATATTTATGTCACTTAATGATATAATTGCAAAGATGTTAAAAAGTTTTAAAAATTAAGATTTTAACCAATTTTTTTATAGGAACGTAAATTAGTTAAAATGAATTATATTGTAGTTTGTAAGAAGTACTATATTAAGTTTTAATTGTTTCTCCTTCCCATTTTATGTACTAAAACACTTTTAATAATCTCATTGAAATTAATAAAAAGTGATTAAGTCATTAACTTTGTTAAAAATAAAATAAATTTTTAATTTTACTCATAATCAAATGAAAATTTTTAAATCTACATTATATTTTCTATCATAGTTAATAACTTTAAAATGATAACATTAAATGGTGGGACCAATATACACATGCAAACAATTGATTAACCAATGTATTTTTTAATAAAAAAAGGAGAATTATCTGATATTATAGATAAATACACACACACACACAAAACAAGGGAGAATATTGACGAAAGACATCTGAAAGAATTTTAATAAGCATCCGATTTGTAACGCTTGTCAAATGTTAATTTCTTTCAAGGACACTTCATTGATAGACTCCAAGAAAACAATGTTGCTTATTAATTGATGGTCGGCCATCCCTTCCCAGTCCTTGTAAATGTCAAATTGTCAGCATGGAACCATGTTGACATCAGATAGATGGACATTGAGGTTTTCAACTTTTAAGGTTATGTTCACCTTATTATTATTAAAATATAACAGCTAGGACACCAGATCACACAAGAATTTTTTTTTAACAAAAAAAAAAAAAACTAGTTATGAGCATATAGGTCGTTGCATACATAATTGTTGATATCTCTAAACATGTAATTAACAGTAACTATCTAGTCCTGTAAGGTGAACTATCTTATTTTGTTAATCATATTAATCGCAAAAGCTATATGATGACGATTTTGCATCTTTAAGTCTAATAGATATTCAAATCCGTTCAAAATTCTCATAAGCTCAGCGAGGAATCTTCTAGCTTCTTTGTTTCATGATTTCATCAGTGACTCTTTGTGTTGATGAAAGCAATGTAGCTGTGTCGCTCACCATCTAGGATGTTATGACTTAATAATATTTTTCTTGTAACTTACTTCTTCCCTCCATTTAAAAATATAAGATATTTTTAATTGAATATCATCTTTCAATAAAGTAGTTACTTACTTTCAAACTAACACTATCTTTTTATATTTACTACTATTAAATACCCTACAATAAATATAAAGTCATTTATTAATAGGAGCACTTTAAAAAAAGCCAATGATTACACCTCGAAAGATTAAGAATATATTATATTTTTGAACATTCAATTTCTCAAAAAATACCTTATATTTTTGAACGTAAGGAATATCATTTTGTTTTCCATAATGACTATTAGACATATCTAAAGAGCCTTTATCATCATAGAACTTGAATTTCTTACCTCAGTTTTTACACTTCATAATATATTCCGTCCAAGAATCTTTTAATAATAATCTATATACTAGTAAAATTCTCATTTTTATAAAAATATATTTAATTTTCTCTTTTTACCTTTGGTTTTTATTTATAATCAGTGAAAAGAATGTTATAAAATATAAATTCACATATACGAGAAGCCAAGTTAATAAATACAAGAGGTGAGATAAAAATTTTTTTTATAAATATTAAGTTACTTATATTTTAAATCAAATAAAGTGCAGTATTATATAAGTAAGAAAAATAAAGTATTAAGTTTGGATACATTAAACGACTTTACCTAGACTTTCTAACTTTAGTACAATCCCAAACTGCGATGAAAAGGGTCAATGGAATTGTGGCCAAAAAGACATGTCCTCTGGCCTATAATATTATTTATTATATATTTATATCCAATATCTAATATTAATATATTAAATTTAAATATTATCAAATCTACTTGAGAGTGGCTCTTCTAATTGGAAAAAATATAATTACTAGTCTTTATAATTTTATCAAATTTTGCTTGTAGTTCTTGTAATTTATTTTCAGTATTTTCAATTTTTATAATCCTTGTAATTTAACATTATTAGGGATCTGAAGAACAATCATCATTTAATCTTGTTAAAATTATAAAGACCGAAACACTAAAACAAATTACAATGACTAAAAATAAAACTCGATGAAACTATAGAGATTAATGATTATATTTTTCCTTTGAATTATCTATATTGATTAAGAAAAATTGAATATCTATATTGTTAAGCTGCTTTAGTTTTAACAATATATGACTTGCAAACAATCACAAGCAACTTTCTAAAGAGATGTTTGTCTTTTCATAGGTAAGCCACCCCTAGATGATTGTCCAAACCGACGAGACATCATGATCATTGCCCTTGTTGAGATAACTTTGTAGGATGCTTTAATTGAATCCTCTTCTCTAATTGGGTCTACAGATTTAACTAGGATGATCACCCCAAGAGAATTATTCTTTTATTTTCTTTTCGTTTGTCATTTCTTTTAATTGACAAGTCCCCAATTAAAACTGTGTCGATACCCAAAAAAAAAAACAGAGAGAGAGAGAGAAAGAAACAAAAGAAAAGAAATCAGAAAACATCTGAACGTAAATCCACACCCCCACACTCACAATGCAAGAGGCCTCGTTGATGCTCGCATCATCACTTATGGAACTTATGGCTTGATGGTACAAGTGCTCTGCTTTCTACTCTCGAATTATCAGTCTCGCACACCCACCCAAATAAAATTCCTCCAATTTCGCATACAATATTCGGTCCCTACCTCCTCATTTACTGAAAAACGAAAAACACGTATTCATACATGTATGTATTTGTTTTCTTTTCTTTCTTTTTTTTTAATGTACTGACATCTACTTGTAAGGATAAATAATCATATCAGCTAATATCAATCTATCTATCATCTCATCCAATCCAACAGAGACACTGCTTCCATACTTAGTATAATAATTTCAATATTCTATTATCAACAAGAATGTCCGGCTCAGAGCAACATGATCAGCATAAAGCCTCGGACACACGGGGGTATAAATCAACCAAAAATCATGAGCTCATTTCTGAAAAGTTGACCATGGTGATGTTGACATTGGCACCAGTATCTGCAACATCAGCTTTGACTTCAATCATCCTCGCCAGTAAAACCACCCGCTTTTCTTTTTCAGGCAATACAAGAATCAACATTGTTCTACTTTCTAACTACTTTCTATGTCTAGCTAGTGCTCTTTTTCCTTAATTTCTCAATTTATGATGACGAGACAATGAAAATGTCAAGGGCATTATTTCTCCACACGAGAGGGGAGAAAACACAAATCACTATTCACTACCATCAGGCAACGCAATTTACTTCAAATCCTCCTGCTTCTAGAATTGGATGCTACATTGTACAGCAATTTCCATAGGGCTCTCAACGATAGTGCTTAAACTTGTTCAACCAACCTTGAGGAGCCCTCACAATAACCAAATCTAATAGGAATCATCAACGCCCATTGTAATTTGCAACCATGCCTCTAAACTTCGTCTCCACTAGGAAATACAATTGTTATTCAAAAAGAAAATTTACATGTTACACACTACTACTAATAATTTGGTTCATAGGGTTCAAAGGGGACAATACTTTTCTACAATTATTGTGCTTACATGCTAGATTCAAATATCAGGGCTATATAACAGTTAAAAAACAACCACACAACTTTTTTACATGCTGCTGGCTGCAGCAGACCATTATCTTGGCTGATTAAACGTGGTATCAGTGACCACAATGGTTATATTGCCATTTCTTCTATATAGCCAACGTTCTGCAGAACTATTTATCCTAAATACACTAACGGGCACAACCATACCTTAATCATTAACTTCCGTGCTTACCTTTTTACGATCTTTATTTTCCTCCTTGAATGACACCGAAATCCACAGTTGATTACTAGAGGTTGTTCCCTATTTATTTATTGCTCCTCTGGATTCAAAGATTACGCAATCTACTTGATTGTGATATAGCGATTTGTGCCATGCTTGGCCCAGTGGTCCTTCAGGTCAACTGCATTTGACAGATCATGGCCCTCTGCTGCAAGCCGGCTAAGCAACTTATTGAAAGCACCTCCACTCATCTTTCGACCACCAACCCGGGCATGTCTCTTGTTGGGTACTGCTGGAAGTGGATACATTGATAGAGTTGTTGTGCAACAAGCAGACTGCCAGCCCCCATTCCCCCATTTGTAACATTGTCTCAGAACACCAGTACAAGAGCATACAGGAGCTGGCATGGTTGATTCATCATATACCACTTGATTCAACCCCAAGTCCTGACCCTTCCAATCTGCCTTTGATGACCCTAACTGCTTGTTAAGATCATCACCTCCATTAACCATTTCCTGACCACTCTTCCATTCATGCGCCTTGCCAAACATCATCTTATTCAAGTCTTCACCCTCCCTCTTGATCTTTTTTGCAGCTCGCGGCGTCTTCTTACTAGGTGAAGTTGACTTACCATCCTTTGGTCGCTTGGCCCGCCGTGACTTCCCAGCTTCATTAGGCAATGATGCTGCTGGAAGGTCATCACTGGTGTGCATTTCCCGGGTGCTGTATGAAGTATCACCCATATGAGGTAAATGGTGCACCTGTTGCTGAGGATGATGCACATGCTTGACACCTCGGGCAATTTGGCATCCTGGAGGGCATGAAGACATGCTACCATTGGCTAAGGAGTTCTCTCGATATTGAAGGGTAGCAATTGCACTATCTCGTTCCATTATGGCATTGTTGCGTTCTGCAATGGCAGTATCTCGATGCAGGAATGCCATATCACGCTCTGCAAGAGCTGCCTTTTTTTCAGAAAGGGCCAGATTTCTCTCTTGGATGGCTGCATCTCTTTCAGCCATAATTGCCATGATTTGCTTCATGGAAGGTTGATGTTGCATCAACCACTGCAACAAGAATACTACGATCAATATAATTATACAACCTTTTTGGAAGGAAATAAATCCAGCCTAAGCAACTACTGCTTCGTTAAAACTTCAACAGTTGAGTGTCTCAATGAGCACGAAGTTATTTCAGCATACCTGCCCCTGAGCTGATTTATATTGATCAGCTTTGTGCCTTCCATTTTCACGATGCCCAGCATCATCCATCAGAAACCCACAAATGGATGCAAAAGATAACTACTTATTCTAGGCCTCCTCAGCCAGTATAGGACTTGGTCGATTAAGCAATAATTTGCTACAAGTCCTGCTTATACAAAATATGCCAATTACTAACATAATTTGAGCATCTTTTTCCTGCCCGTTTTCTTGGAATCATGGGGTTTGAGAAGGAAAGAATTTCTCTTTCAACGACTCTACATCTCTACCAAAAAATGACCTCTTCAAGGATTGAATTACTTACGATGATTATAAATAGAAATTGTAAATGCAGAAGATGAATGCACAACCAATTGAAATTTTCCCTGCATAAGAGAATACAACACACACAGGTAAAAAATAAAGCACAAGAAACCCAACTTGCATATGACACTAACTACAGGAATCCAACATGCATAGGAAGGCGGAGACATTACAGTAAAACAATATTTCCACAGCATGCAATAATATATTGTAATTTACAAAGAAATAAAGGGCATAGACATTTAAGGTCCCGTTTGGTTGCATTGAGGCAGACTGGCTTCATTTCAAAGGGGGTAAAAGATATGCAATGTCCATTATTATCATCATTAAACATATTTATTACCTTTTTCACCCAGGAGCGATAATTATTTTTTATCAAAACACACTTTTTTCAATACATATTTCTTTCTACTCAATAGCCAATACCATTCTATGCAGCAAACATCTCATTAAATATCTTCTATTCACAATACTTGACTCAGTTGACACTCAGCAGCAATCAAAAACACAAAATAAGAACTACTAAGAATGGATTTGAAAACAAAATAAAAATGGTTTCGAAAAGGAACAGAGGCAGACTAATACATCTTTCGATCCTCAGGTCATAAAATTAAGCAGTATAATCAACAAATCCGCAAATGTCCCCTTCGCGTTATTTACAACTGCCAAGCACAAAATGGTCAAATTCTGTTTCTAAACTCGACTTGTTGGCATGAAAGAGTTTCAAAAGATAAATTAAATTATCATTTGCGGGTAGTGATGGTTCGATTTTAAAGATTAGTTAATGGCAGGTGACCTTATATTCGTAGTCTAGAATGAAGATTAAGTTGCCAATCCATAATAAACAGTTGGAAGGGAGAGATAGAAGCAAGTCATGTAATACAATACAATGACTCTGTAAGGAAGATACTTCATTCGTTACCCAAGGCCATATGAACACTGAATAAACGGAGAATGCCAAATGCTGTGAACAATCGGAGAAAAAATAATGATTATGGTGTCGAGGTATTTAAGGAGATAAATAGGATAAAAGTCAATCAATATGTGAAAAAGAAGAGGGGAAGAAACAGGGGAAGAAAACAAAATTGAAGCTGTTGAAGGTTCTGGTAACGTTGCCTCACTCCATGATCCCCTTTAAATGGATATTTAATTATCAACTTAAACTTACTGTGAATAACCTGATGCGTGTGATTCAATGCAAAGTTGCTTGTTGAGTCAACGGGGAACCTATCAAAGTCAAATGCATTTCTATTTTCCAAATTTGATAAATAATAATGGAAAGTCAGTCTGGATCAGGTTCTCCCTCTTGTCCCAAAGCTAAAGAATGTCCAAATTGGATGAACACAAAATTCAAATTGCTCAGGACGTCGCATCTGAACAATCTGAAGTTAAGAATCATCAAATTGCGTGAAAGTCCGAATTCGATAGTCAAAATACGCGAATTCTTTTAAACCAACGAATCAGAACTACGACATGAAGCTAAGAACCAGTCAATCATGTTGAAATATAGCAATTTGCACACCGGAGGAGAATCTCGCAAACAATCCACAAAATAAGCTTTAATTAGCATAATTATACTCTAAAAACAAAACATATCTATAGTTTTAAGGTGTTCAGAGATCAGAAGTAAGAGGGAAAGCGAGTCCGAGTAAAGAACTACGGATTCAGAGCTCGAGTGTGGGAGGTATCGGGAGAGAAGGAGAAAAATCAAAAGACAAAAAGCAAACTATTATAGAAAGACAAGAAAAGAGAATAATAGAAACTTACGAGACGAGCAGGAAGATAGAGAGAAGAATGATTAAAGAAACAGACTAAAAACCCTAATCTCCGTGGAGGAAAGGCGACAAAATTTTTCACTTTTTTCTCTCTCCTGTCTCTGCAATTTTTCTCGCATCATTGCCTTTTGTTTTTTTTATTTTTATTTTTATTCTGTGGGCGTACAGTTTTTCACTCACTTTAAAGCAGAACTCAAGAGTTACTTGTAAGTAAGTAAGTAAATGGCGGGTACTTCACGCGCCGGGTCGGATTGAGACAAGCAGAGAGAAACCGCACCACAATACAAGAAACAGTGAGAATACGACCCCGATAAAGAAGAAGAAATCGGATTAAAGAGAAAAAAGACGAGAGAAAAAAAGGAAATTAGCGGATTCTGATTTTCTCTATTTCTCTGTACTTGTTGATCAAATACATCTAGCTGAAATTCGCGAGACAATCTTCTATTCAACAAGGGAGTGAATCCCGCATTTTGTTGAAGAGAAAATTGAGCATTCAGTTGAAGGATTGAGAGAGAGAGAGAGGGATGAATTGAGAGTGAGAGAGAAAGAGATAGAAAATCTCACCGAGGGAGATGAATCGAACACTTTGGCCAGAATATGGAGGACGGGAAAGGGGTGAGAAGACGACGACGAGCACGAGCCTGCGACTAGCCGACACCGACGAGGCAGTGGAAGGGGGAAGGGGTTGAGGCGACGTCTCTGACTGGTAGTGGCCTCTGGACTAGTGGACTTCGAAGACACAGAACTTCGACGGCGGCCGGCAGAGCGCGACGGTGCTCGGAGATGCGATGCTGTGCAGCTCGACGACGAAGAGGAAGGCGGGGGAATGGAAGGCCAATGTGCCTCTGCTTGGTGCGAAAAAGAGACTGTCGGATAGGTGATGCTGAGAAGAGATTTTTTCGTTTGACCTGAAACCGAGAAGAGATTGAGGAAAGGGGTTGGGGAGGCATGAAACGCAACGTATTGCTGTAATTGAAGTCCGACCGGGGCTTTTTTTTTTCCTTTTTTCTTTTTTTTTTTGTGGTCAACCGACCGGGGTTAACTAGCCTTGAAATTTGCGAGTGACGGTCAAAATGCATATGTCCGAACTGACCTGGCAGAGAAATTCTACAGATTGGACGTGAAGGATTGGGTGACTTGGAACATGAAAGCATAGGTGGAAAGCTTTTCAACAAAATCAGTCCTTTGGAATGTGTTGTTTGCTTACACATGCTGGAACATTTGAAAGAATAGGTGCTCGAAACTTTTCCAATCTTATTGATTCTAATGTTGAAGACTCTAGCAATTTTATTTTCAAAGTGTCAGGTGATGTTAGACTCGACCAACAAGTCCTTGGAACAGACTGCCAGAGGGGCAATGTCCCTCAAGCAAGAGGGAATACAAATGTCATTTTTATAAATACTGATATATCTACTCTCCATAACGGCCTTGGTGTATGTGGTGGGATTTTGAAGGATTCAAATGGTAACTGGTTTCTTGGTTTTAATCAAAGATTGGATCCTGTTCCTCCTACCATTGCTGAAATTCTTGGCATTTATAAGGGCTTAAAATAATGCTGGATCAAAGGTTTTCGGTTTGTAGAAATCTCTTAGTGATTGTGTATATACCATATTAATAATTACAAGGAACAACTATTATTACCCTCCTTTCAAAGAGATTATCGATTCAATCAAAAAGCTCTTAAACAAACAATTGCGTGTCAATTTTAATTTTTTATATAAGGATAGTAATAGAAAGGCTGATTTTCTAGCCAAGTTAAATTACTCCTTTCCTGATGATTTTAACCTTTTTATACACCCCCCATTAGGTATGCTGGGAATTCTTTCTTTCTTTCTTTCTTTTTGTTTTTTCTCTTTGGGTTATTTGTAGTTTTTGGATCTTTACCTTGTATCCTTGTTAGTTTCCCTAGTTTCTAATAGATTTCAGTTAACATTCAATATATATTTATATAGATAAACATTATACAAACTTAAAGTTTCAAACTCAACCGCTTCCACTAGAACTAATACTCGTTGGTTGAGTCTTCGAATTTTAAATTTCCACATGGAGGTGGGGTGTTTGAACTTTGAAGTTGTAAACTAAATAAGTTTAAATTAAGTTTTTAGGATATTTATTTAAGTTTTTAAAACTAATTAGAATAAACAACAATTTTTATTATTTACTTTAAATTTTTTTTGTAAAATAATCGAATGCATAAAATGAGGAAAGTGTCATAATAAAAGTTTTAAAATACACAAAGACATTAGATGACTTAATTTCTAATATGCCAACTTGATGGTAAAGCTATTAATTAAGACTGATCCTTAAAAGGTTGAAGCCTAACCGAGCTTGCTCTTTTAAGCTCAATTACACTTCAGGGTTTCATTATATATAGCTCAACCTTAGTCTTCAAGGCCTTTTTCTTTCCATTTTTCAATTTAAAAAGGTAAAAAACATATTTAAAATTCTAAAAAAAATATTACACATAACATTAAGTCTAAAAAATAAATTTAAGTCAATTCACTCAATAACATATTTAAGTTTAATAAAAAAATAACAACTTCATAAAATCAACCCTGATAGCAATTAGATTTTACTAGCATCATCAACTAAGTCTTGATGGATGAAAGACGAAAGAAAGGAGAGTGGCCAGCTATATGCTTGGTCAGTTGGTCAATTGATAGATGAAAGAGAAGAAATCAGCATGATTGAATGAAGTTAGGTTTTTCTTTTAGTGTATGATTGTATGTAGTATTTAATTTTTTTCATATTAAAATTTTTAAAAAAGTATAAAAAAGCTTAAAAGGGTCAGCCTGACCCTAAATGGCGAGTGGCCAATCTCGGGATATTCTCAAATTTAAAAGGGTTGACCTAATGGGTTTAACCCTAATTGACAGCTCTACTTATAGAGAATTTACCATTAGACGACCCTTCCACGTCAAGCAATCCCAAGCAATCATTTTTTTATGTAAAAATATTATTTCTTTTTTTGTCATCTCTAATTTTCTTCACATGTTTTTATGATAAACATAATCATTAGTCTCTATAATTTTATTTACTTTTAATCCCTTTAGTTTTTAGTTTTTCCAATATTTTCAGTCCTTATAGAGATTGAAAATATTGAAGACATTAAAACTATAGGAACATAAATAACATACATTATCCAATCTTGCTCAAACTATAGGTAGTGACAGACCCAAGAAATTTTGTTAGTGGGGGCAAATTTATATCAAATAAATAGTAATATAGTTGAAATGAAATTCTAAATATTCATTGAATTAATAAAAAATAATTTCATTAAAATTAAATGCATAAGAATAAATAATTACTATAAAATTATAATAACTCAAAAAATAAAATTATCTTAATATAAGAAAAATTTATATTGAAAATGATTCTCTTTGATACTCTTAAATATCAAAATAGAAAATTATCTTTATATTAATTTATATTAACATCATATTTTAATAATCTTCTTTTTTTATGAAAAAAATCATACTCTTTTAGAATAAATATTTTCAATATGAAAAATTAAAAAAAAAATTTCTATTTTATTATAAAGTGTTACCTTTGAATATAAATGAGTAAAATTTAAAAATCAAAGAATATGATCCTATTATCTTTTAGAAAATAAAGATAAGGGAAAACACAAGCCTTGGCACCTATAATTTTATATGTTTTGTTCTTGGCCCATACAATGTTAGTCCCTACTCCTTATACCACTAATGATATTAAATCTCGAGTTGAATGTTAAAATAAAGGTAAAAAGAATCATTGACTCATCCATCATCAATATATATATATATATATATATATATCTTGTAAAAAATTATTAATTGGTCAGAATCTCTTTGATGTTATTGATCAGTTCACTTTAATTAAATTTTAATTCTCCTTATTCATTGGTTCATTTTATTTGTCATGTATTTCATTATTAAATTTTAAATATAACATTCAAATTTTATGAGAGCAGTAACTCCATAAATATCAATTTTTTTATTTATCTTGTGTGTCTCAATATTCTCTAGTCTCTATATTTAATAATTTATGTATTTTATATGGGAGCAGTAAGGCCATCCTTCTTAACTTTTTCATTTATCTCGTGTCTCTCAATATTCTCCAATCTCTATCTTTAATAATTTACATATCTCGTTATTAAATTTTAAATATAAAATTCAAGTTTCACATGAGCAATAACTCCATCCGTCTCAGCTTTTTTATTTATCTTGTGTCTCTCAATATTCTCCAGTCTCTACCTTTAAGAATTCATGTATCTCATTATTAAATTTTAAATATAAAATTCAAGTTTTATGGGAACAATAACTCCATTCATCTTAGCTTTTTCATTTATCTCATGCCTCTTAATATTCTATAATCTCTATCTTTAACAATTTATGTATTTCATTATTAAATTTTAAATATAAAATTTAAGTTTTACGAAAGCAATAACTCCATCTATCTCAGCTTTTCCATGAAGTGACAATGGAATGGGCTTGAATATCTGAGAAAGTTTGTTATATCTCTTGACGAGCATCTTTATTGTCACTTGTACTGGATGATAGAAAATTATCTTGCACTCCACTATCACAAAATAAAATAAAAATGTATCAATTTATAGAACTTTTTCATATTGTTGATAGGTGTTTATCTATATTACTTATCTGTATCTATATTATTACTTACAGTTTTCTTATATCAAACTTAGCAAAGATTAATTCTCTCACTTTTAAGTTATTAGACATAAAATTATATACAATTTCAATGAAAAAAACATTCATGTTATAAATTTTTTGACGATACACTATAAACATGAAATCAAAATAAGAAATATAATTATGTTGTATATATTTCAAATATAAAAAAATACATAATTCACATTTTCTACATCATTTTTTTAAATGAAAGGATACCTATCTAGAAGTTTTCACGCCTTAATCACGTATGATGGAATCATCAAAAATTCAATCTTTTCAAACTCTATTTATAATTTACTA